ACTTAATAGGAAAATATGTTCGGTGGTCCATTTAAATTACATATATGACCCTCTTTTTCTTTTACATTGATCTTTACATATGTCTATCTCTCTCCAATAAAACTAACACCATTTTCAGAGGGCGCTGGTGTTGCTGGTTTTTTGACGTAGAAATATCGATTAAAAGTATTAAAACTGACAACTGACAATGTTATGAATGTTGTTATGAACATGTGCATTTTATTAAATTTAATTTAATTTGGGCCCCGTATATTTCTTTTAGTCTGATTTTGTTATTTAATTAATTTTCTTTGGGGGGGAATGTTTATTTTTGCATATTATTTTTTGCATGAAGCAATTTCTGGAACCAAACTCGCGTTTTTGTACACATTTCTTTCTAGAGGTAATTTCCAATTTATTAAGAAAACCACTGTATAATGTGTGTGTTTAATAATATATTACACAATGACTATAATTATTTTAGGTGAATTGGAACAGAGATCCATTGTTACAGCTACTTGTGTTCATTAAGTAGGTAGATGAATGTCTGGACAGCTTTAATGGCAGCACAAAGTTCCTATCTACTAGAAAAGTAAAATGTATGCTGAGTAAAAAATCTGCACATGTAGTATTGGCAAAGGACTTTTGAAATGATTAGAGATTAGCTATTTCTTACATACACCTACCTCTAACAGCCACTCTAAAGGAAGAAAAAAAAATTGAATCACAAAAGGGCAGAATTTTAAATCAGGATGCATTGGAAAATAAATTTGGGGACATCAGGTCGGTTTTGGATTTTATAGAGAGATCAATCTCAAGAAAAGTTAATTTATCCTGCAGAACAACCAGTAGTTTAAGTAGGATTTGCTATAACTTTATTAGAAATTTTCTTTGATAATAAATTGTAATATAGGTACCAATTATTGTTTCAAATGAAATTGAAAAAGAGTTAAATATGAAATTAGATTTTTCATGAGTAAAATGTTATATTCATTCGAACATTGTAAGGTAATCTATAATTAAGGGAATATGGAAAATAGGTATACCCTGGTGGTGTAAGAGAAAGGTAAGGGGCAATGACAAAAAAATTACAAAAATGTGTTTATCTTTAAATAGTGTTTATTATTAATAATATTATTTGCTATGTTTGAAAAGTACCTCCTGCTTCCGAACAGATCAAATAGATTAGACTTCTAGTTGGAGAAGGTCCACCTAGTAACCAAATTAGGAGACTAGGAAAACTTTTTCATGACTGGGGATACAACAGGAATGCACACACACAAGATACACAAACAAACGAAATAACCGGGGTAAGCCTTTAGCAACGTTCTGTTTAAATGATGATAGTATGTCATCCTTTATTCCCTTTTAGAAGGCATGGCATATAAATATTGATCTTGATTACTATAAGAGGAGTTAGCAGGGGTCTAGCAGGTTTCGATCCAGTTTACAGGATGGGAACTTACTTGACTCGGGCCTTATACATTTGTGTTGAGTGTATGTGTGTTTCGTTTCCATGGTTTCTATTAAAATAAACAGTCATAACATATCCATACCTTTTTGCCAGACTAACATAAGTGACATTTGTTCAAATGGCACTTATGATAGTCTGGCAAAAAGGTATCGATACTATACTTTATAAAATATTTGTTACATTAGTTTTTAAATATATTATGAATATATAACAACTGTTACTTTCTTTGTAATTTGTCACAAAATGATAGGAGGTACTTTCTAAACGAAGCAATTGTAGTTTGTTTTTCTGTACCTTACAAAAATATAATTTATAGAAAAAGAGTTTGGTGTATTATTTTTCCAAGTTTAAATATTTAATAATCAATAGAAGTTTCAAGTTTTTTTTTTAGCGAAATAAAAACTATGTTCACTGTTTATATTAAACTGATTAAAACTTCCTTTATTAAAATAATTATTTATGTGATAAAAAATTTGATGTTATTGGAAGCTTTTATATTTTTTTAATATACAGTGAAACAATAGTTTTTGTTTCTCCTGTAAATTTGTATAGAAAAACTTTATTTCTGAATCCATGTTTGAATTTCCCGCCCTAAAGCATTTTTAATTTTCCCGCTATTTACTAGTGGCGCCATCATAGACTGGTTGTGGTTACAATCGCCCAAATAACTTTTACCGAACCAAAAAAAATACATTGAGTTACACGTCTCGCTGGATTGTCTCTGATAGTAGTCTTTAAATTTGGCTAGCTGGCGTCATTTTGTCAACCAAATAAATTCACCCGTTTTAAACTTTTGGATAATACAAAGTAATAATAAAATTATGTTTAAAAGTTTTCGAAAAGTACTTTGTTTATTACTTTATAGATAATGTAATATTAATATGTAATTATTATGTACTACAATTCAATCAAAATGGATAAATAAATCGTCAGATGTGACTAGAAATAAATTATCGAAGGGTATGGAAATATTATGTCAAAAATAAGGTATTTTTTTTTAATTTCTTTTTAGTTGATTTAAATTAGATACTTGGCAACACCGCAAATATTTGAATTAACAGAGCATGACAGATATAATTCTAAATTCTAATAAATAAATACATAAATGATCACTTAATGCTATCCTCATATGCCTTTATTATGTAATTTTTTTAAAAAAACATTAATTTATGGGGTTTCCGTTTATTTATTTGAAAAATATTCTCCTTCCTGAAGTCTAAAATGTAAGTTTTGTAAAAAAATTGTATTTTTAAGAAAGGGCAATATTTAACAAAATCCTACTTACAGAACGATGCAAAATTGGTATCATTCATGGAAAAATTTAAACTTGGGACCAATGTCAGGAGAAGGGTTAATCAAGGTATAAATATGCTCTTGATGTAATAAAGCTACTTTCGTTGCATCTCGCTAGGACGCACCATTTTCAAGAAAAAAGCATTTGAAAATTTCATGATAAGTTCATATTAACGTATTCCAAAGTGCAAATAATTAGTAGGTCTGTGGAATCAGAAAATTTTTTTTCAGCTTTGGAAAACCGGTGACTAAAGAAATTTATTTAGCTTTAATAGTATTTAAAGTAAGCCCAGAACTGTTATGAGACAAAACTGTCGACCTAATTATGAATATGACGATGTAGAAAAATACTTTCGTATAAGTTTACCTTACCTTGATTATCTTTTAAATGTTATTCAAAGCCGGTTCTTTGATGGCCATTCAGAGGCATTTAAAATGTTTGATTTTTTATCAAAAACAGGAATTCAAAAAAATCATTAAATAGTATTTAAACTTAAACTATATAATAACATGTTTTTTTTTTCAAATGGTTTGGTTGGCTTTGACCAAATAAAACGATTGATGAGAATTTATTTCTTTAACTGTCGACGTTTAAACTGTTATAAGCTAATCCTTAGGACGGTAAATTTTGGCTGATTGAAAGATTTCTGGGTAGATAGATAGAAAAAGGTGTTCCCACACCGTGACCACCTCGATCTCCGTACTTAAACCCATTAGATTATTTTTGGGGTCGTATAAAAGGTATGGAATACGCTACAAAAGTTAACAGTGAGGAAGAGTTGCATGTAAGGATACGTTTAGCAGGGAATGAAATACGGCAAAATAATTTTAAAGTTATGCGAGCTTCACATGTGATTACCCGTAGAGCTAGTACAATTTTTGTTATTTTTAGTACAATTTTTAGTAGAATAGTAGAATTTTTAGTAAAACAGATAAAAAACAGTTTTTTTATAGACGACATTTTGACCTATTTTAAGTCATCCTCAGGATAATAAAAGTAGATACTTCACGTTAAAAATCTTAAAGTTATAATCAAACAGTATTTTTTGCGAATTAAAAATAACTAATGATTTCTTCTCTAACCCAGTCAAACTTCCTATTTTCAAGAAATCATTACTATTCTTGATTTCAAATTGAGTTTCGCTATAATTTTACGATGTTTAACGTGTCTGACTTACTTTTACTGTCCTAAGGATTACCTTAAAATAGTTTAAACGTCGATCGTTTTAGTGGGCCAAAGCCAACCAAACCATTCGGAAAAAAAGAAAATTTTATTAGTTTAAGTTTAAATACTATTTAGTTGTACCATTTAAAGTTTATTTATAAAATTAACATTTAAAAAACAAAGCTAAATAAATTTTTTTAGTCACCGGTTTTCGTAAGCTAATAATAAATAAAATTTTTGATTCCACAGTCCTACTAAATAGGTATCGTTTGCACTTCCGAATAAGTTAATATGAACTTATCATGACATTTTCAAATGCTTTTCTCTTGAAAATTGTGCATCCTAGCGAGAGCCAACACAAGTAACTTTATTATACAAAATACATATGCCTGGAATGTCTTTCCAGAATGTAGAATATGAAATATATTCTATGAATATTTCATAAATATTGCAATATATTTGGCAAATAGGCAGATTGGTGGCATATGCCAGGGATATAGTGTGCTGTCTGGGCTAAGCTTGATTGCAAATATAAACTTATTTTAAAACATTGTTTACATCAGTACATCAGTAGGTGTACATCATGTACATAAAATGCCCAAGTAGTGCTTAATATTCGAAAAATAAAAAAGATTAAAAAAAAATAAAAAAAAGTTTAAAAAAGTTTAAAAAGATTAAAAGGGTAATTATATAGGTGCTTAAATCTAAAAGATATTAGTAATAAGGTGTCTGTCTGCAGAAGATATAGGTTAAAAATCTGTATCGTTTCGTTACAATTCCATTTATTTACATATTTTATATTAAAATTAAATCGAATACAAATACCCGAAACTGGACCAAATTACAAAATCGGCGGTATTATGTAGCAACCGAACGAGCCATCTCAATATTTTCAAATCCCGTCCGCAATAACCAGTATATCATTATAGTGTGTATGTGTATTGAAATGAAAAAATTGTGGGCAAAAGCCTTCTGGCCCTAGGTGAAAGGCCCACAAACCACCGGCCACGCCTCCGCCATATTTAAACACTATAAAAACACGTTGACACGCCGATGCTTATTCAAAACAGTCGATCTCATCTAACGAACATGGCATTCAAAGTGAGTAAACGCATAATAAAGTGATTAGAAAAATGTGTGCGACGAGTGCTTAAAAGTTTTGATATAAAACAACCGTATCGAAATGGCAAAGGCGCTTATAGCAGTGGCGTGCTTAAATAGAAACCGCGGGAGTTCCCACGATTTAATTTTTTTTATTTGGGATCCTTTTTTACGAATGTCAATTAATTTCTGTTAATTTTTTTGTCAATTTTTCTATCAATTATTTCTGTCAATTTTTTCTTACAATTTTTTTCCTCAATTATTTCTGTTATTTATGTCAATTATTTATGTCAAAAGTTACATTTGACAGCTTCTGAGCTTTTCAAAGAAATTTTTTCCTGAGATTAATAATTATGCATTTTTTTGTCATTCCCAATATAGAAACCAACATATCTGCATTTATTTACATCGTTACTTCGGTTACCTTTACTAACCTATATAATTTTTTAAATTGTTTAAAAACTGAATACGTATTTTTTCAAAGTGACAACTAATTTTGTAACAAAATGACTACTTAGATTATCTAATTACGCTGAATTGCGTGTTTTGCATGATATTTAACAAATTTTAGTTGTTTTTTATTTTCTCAAATTTGTCTGTTTGCACTATTTGTGATTTGTGCTTTAATAAGATTTTTAAAATTCAATTATTATGGTTTTTAGTTGATAATTGTTCTAGTCTTGCAGTAAAATAGTGTTTTAAATGCTATTTTAAGTATAATTGTGTTTTGAGTGACACATTTTAGTTGTCATTTCTCGGTTTCTTGCTAATTTGTATTTTTCCTAATATTTGTGTTTCAAATTAGATTTTCTGATTATTTTTTAACGAATTTCAATTATTTTCACCTATTTTACTTGACACGTTACCATAAACTGTTCTATCGATTTTTGTTCGTATTAAGAGCAAACCGAACACATTGAAAATTCATAATTTCTTCAGAGCCTTTATTAATAGTCCAATTTTTGTAAAATTTTTAGGAAATGCCAATAAATTTAGGGTAAAAACATTTTGAGTTTTTTGTAAATTTTCGAAAAGAATTTATTTAAAAAAAAAAAATGCCGCCATTCTGTATTAAATCTATGAAAATTTGCTGCTTTTTGTTTTAATAAATATCTAGAAGTTTTTAAATGGCAGGATTTCTCAACCTTTTTTTTTTCTTAAACATCTCTATAGAGTGCTGCTTTATCGTTATCGTTAAAGCCGTCAATATTCTCGAAATACACAATATCGCGAAGTATTCCCAGGTCCGGTTTACTCATACCATAATTAATATTCTAGTTTTTGCGGTAAAATAGTTATTTTTTCAAGAGGGTGTGACTATTTTTCACTTGTGGTTGGAACAATTTTCATTTTAATTTTGATCTATTTATTTTTTCTAAAGTCTTATTTAAATAACTAATGAGATACTAATTAGACACTATTTATTTTTAAAAGAGTGTATAATGCCACTTAGTAATTACTAAATAATATCGATGTTTTTTATCCTTATCTTTGTTTGTTTTAAACAGGTAGGGTTAGATTTGGCCCAGAACATTGCGGCCTCTTGGGTCCATTGTATTCCCTGCTTTCCCTTTATTCAGGTACTGTCTTTGAAATATTCTTGTGCCTTTGGTTAGTTTTAATAAGTTGCCTGACCAAGTGTTCTTTCCGGTTCTGGGCCTAAAAGGGCGAGACGCCGCCTAGCAAGTGCTTCGCATTCGAAGATCACATGTTATGAGGTTTCTTCCTCATCCATGGAGCGTCTGATCCCATCACGTAAAGGTGTTTCAGCAAGCAATGTCCCGTTAGTAATCCCACAATGGTGAATATCTAAGGCCTTGTAAGTCGTAGTAATTCAGCAGCCATATGTTGGTTTGGTCTCTTTAGCATAAACTTACTGATTATGTGCCCTTTTTTCTGTTGCCAGTGAATTTGGTGCTTTGTGTTTATCCGCCTGTTCAATGCCTGTCGAGCAGAGGATTTGCTTATCCCAAATACAGATTCGGGTCCAGTAAACGGTAGTTCTGATGCCTCTTTTGCGAGTTCATGAGCCTTTTCATATCCTTAGATACCTTTGTATCCCGGTACCCACGCTAGTTATACCTTATTGTGGATTGCCAAATAATTTAGTATTCCAAGGCAGTTCCAGACCAGCTTTGACTTGATTCTGTTTGAACCAAGGGCCTTTAAGACTGCTTGGCTATCTAAGAGAATTAAGGTGGTTTAAAATATAAAAACTTCTTCTTTAAATTCTCTCGTACACACAACTTGACTAAATGTATTTCAGCCTGAAATACAGTGGTATGTTTTCCCAGTGAGACGATGATATGTCTAATTTGGGTTTAACTCCATGTACGCAAGAGCCTGTTCTCTTGTTGACCTGGAAGAGTATGTTGAAGGTTAGGAGGGGTGTAGGATAATTTGCCTTATGTGTTATTCTGGTATGTTTTATATGTCCCAATGGGTTCCAGTTGTTGGCGATGTCCATCCTGTATGCACTCATTCTGGCCTCCCCCTTTATGACTAAGTCGAGGGGTAAGAGATTTAGAATTATTTCCATAGAAGGTGTCAGTGTACTTCTGAGTGCTCCTGTAATATAACGGCATGCCAGCCTCTGTACTCCTGATAGGCTATTGAGGGCTGTTTCTGGTTTACTTTTCGCCACCAAACAACCACTTCATAAGTTATTATGGGTTTTGTTATTGCCGAATATAGTCAGTGGATCATTTTCGGTTTTAATTTCTATGTTTTTCCAAATACCTGTCTCCATACAATGAGAGACATTTTACATTTGTTGGTCACTTTTTTTAAGTGTTAGTTCCAAGTAAGTTTGCTATCTCGAATTAGACTCAGATATAGTATTTGGTTCTTTCTGTTTAGGCTTTTCCAAACAGAGTCGGAGTTTCTAAGACCTCCAACTTTGTTTTCCGAGTAAAGGTTATGAGTTATGCCTTGTCAGGTTTTACCAAGAGGTTTTCGCTAACTCACCACATTTCTGTCAGCCTTAGAGCTTATATGTTCCTTAAGGATCTATTCTGATACATTAAGCTGTGCTTTGACTAAAATGGGCATAGTTTTTAGAATTGTTGCAGTTTCTACTGGGTGCTCAAATACAGGATGTATCATATTCTTTGAAAATTTCTGAATACATTTTTCAAAATACCCATACGAAATAAACCTCCAAAGTGAAAACAAATCATTTAAAATGTTCATTTCTTCAATTATTTTGTTTTCGTATGTATTTATATTAAATATTAACTATGAATTAGGTTCCAAGTGAAATGTTCTTGCTTATGACATACTAATAAGGTATTTAAAACCTTCAATTTTGAAAATTCTATTATATATACTTTCGTTGGGTTCGAAATCCAAAAAAACTTATCAAAAATGAATGCCGGATTAAGTTTTATCAAAATATAACAAAAATAAACTTTTTTTTTATCTTCTCTAATCCCGTCGCCCTATCTTTACTTCGCCTTCGCCTTTCTTTAAATCTACTTGTTCAGCTTCCTTTTGTTACTACATCCTTTTTTAAATTCTGATTAACTATTTGCTCATTGACTCTGCTTCCTCGGCTTCTTTCCAAAAATACTTATCTTATTTTTAATCTCCTTTTCAACCATTTTAATAAATTTTGTTTCTCCTTTATCTCTTTTAAACTTTTTATTATCTAACTTTAATTTTTTTTACCAATTTTTTTTATAATAGCTGTTTTTTAAATTTTAAAAATCCTCCAAATTCTCTCAGTTATAAATTCCATATATTGATAAATGTCAATTTGACAAAACTGTAAAAAAACCATGAGCCAAAATTTTGTCCCCGAGAAATATCCATATCAATACTTTTTCCGCCTACCTCTATCCAAAGTATACATTTTCTGGCCTCATTGCAGGGAGCAAAGTCGTACTTTTCCTCCTTAGGGATGTATGAATGTAACAGATCAAACTCCAATTTTAAAAACGCGTTTTTAAATTAAATTAAACAAATTATCTAACGATTTTGTACGTTATAATCAAAAAACAAGTTAATTACTAATCCAGTCAAAATTTTAAAATGAAAAATTATATTTTTGGATTTAACCTAATTCTTTTTTTTTAGAATTAAATTGAAACATTAAGTCTTTTATCCAGAGATATCTTAAATATAAATCTTTATAAACTTTCTATTTTAAAAATAATTATTTTCTTAATAATTTTGGTCAATAAAATCGTTCTACGTCAATTTATTAAGAAAAACTTTCTTTATATCGTCCCTATATTGCTAAAACGTGTTAACTGTCAAATATTTTTAAAAATGAGCTAACTACATATATGTATATGTATTTCGATTATATTTCTATTGGTAAAAGGAGCGTGTTTGATGTTCCAAAATATACTAAAATGCACTTAATAATAATTTTGGTTGATACTGTACAAGTGTACAACCAATACATATTATTATTAATAAATTTCTTGTCTGTACATGTAGTTAATCGATAAACACATCTTCAACTTAATTAATCTGTGGAAGTAGCCAAATTTGAATCTTTAAACAATACTTTTAAATTGATCACCTATTCATTGAAAGCACAAAAAAAAGATAAAATTAACTTTTAGTTTTACAGGAAAAACCAGTTATCCGTATACAATTTTTAAAAAAAAGTCGAAAGTTTTGAATAAAAAATTTATTTTTTTTGCTTGCAGAAGATTCTTAAAATCAGTTGTACAATACTAATAATACTACAGTACTAATTTTAAATATGGTTGTCTGATAAAAGCAAAAATAATCCAAACTTTAAAATCCAATTTTCAAAAATCATGATTTTTACAATTAACCGGTCCTGCCAGTATAGAAACAATATATTTCTATATCAATGTGATCTTATTTTAGATATATCCCACAAATTTTGTGAAAATACATTAAACATACATTATATATAGATTAATTATATCACATTATTATTATTATTATTATTTAATTTTTTCTAATAAATAATTTGTTTCCAGTTCATCGTCTTCGCAGCCTTCGTAGCAGTAGCTCGTGCCGGAGTCATCCAACAATCCTACTCCGCACCTCTGGCTTACGCTGCGCCATCAGTAGCCAAAGTATCATACTCAGAAGCTCCGGCTGTATCCTACTCCAGCATATCAGCTCCAGTAGCGTACGCTGCAGGTCCATCATACGCCAAAATAGCTACTCCAGTTTCCTATGCTGCCCCAGCACACTACGCTGCTCCCGCTCAATATGCCGCCCCAATCGCGTATGCCGCCCCAGCTCAATATGCTGCACAAGTTCAATATGCTGCACCAGCTCAATACGCTGCACCAGCTCAATATGCTGCACCATCTCATTACGCCGCTCCAGCTGTATCCTACGCCGCTCCAGCATACAAAGTAGCTGCTCCTGTAGCCTATGCTGCACCAGTACACCACAAAACCATCATCTCTGAACCCGAAACTCCCGCCCACTACGATTTTGGTTACAGCGTTAACGACCCTCAAACCGGAGACAGCAAAAGCCAGCAAGAATCTCGTCGTGGTGATGTCGTCCAAGGAAGCTACTCCCTTGTTGAAGCTGATGGAAGCAAACGTATTGTAGAATACCAAGCCGATGCCCACAATGGTTTCAACGCTGTTGTTCACAAGGAACCCGCTCAAGTACATGTTAAAGCCGCTCCTGTAGCCTATGCCGCGCCTGTAGCCTATGCTGCTCCTGTAGCCAAGTACGCTGCTCCCCTTTCTTACGCTGCACCTGCTCAAGTTTCTTACGGTGCTCCAGTAGCTAAATACGCTGCTCCTCTATCTTATGCCGCACCTGTAGGACACCAGGCTTACTACCACTAGGTTTGTTTCTATCAAACTTTGGTGTAGAGGCTCATTTTTGTATACTTGTTACCTGTGAATATTCTCGTATTTATTTGTTGTAGAAATAATTACCAAATATAATTTTAAAATACATTGTGGTACTATTTATTATTTCCTTTCTTGTAGCTAATAGAAAAAATGATATCTTAGACTACCTATATGAACGAGAGCGTGGGACTTTAAATAAGTGGTGTTACATTTTAAATTTATAGATAGCACAAAGTTAGTTTGTAAAGAAGGTAGTTCAATTTCTTAGTATAATCCTTTCGAATTCCTTTGAATAGACTGTAAATAACCTACTACATACTATTAAACAGGTGGTGGCTATTGATAAAAAAAAATATATGTATGTGGGTTTGTCAAGATGTTTTATTTAATGAAAAAATTGTTAATTATAAATTGGTAGGCATCAATTTTATTAATACAATATACATCTATATTAATATATTTTTGGAGACTATAAAATATAATAATATATTATATTATAGAGAGTACCACGTGATTCGATGGCCATAGCTTAAGATCGTATTCCTTGTTTACTGTCAAATTTAATATTGTCTATAACTCCTTAACTATTTAGTTTTGAACAGTTTATAAGGTACTTTTAACTTAAAATTATTCAAGGAATACAGTGAATACAGTCTTAATAAGCCATGACCATCGAGTCACAGGACACCACTTTGTTTTTAATAACCCACAAAATGTCATCTTATCGCTATTGCTTATTATTTAATTAGTTCAGAAACAAAAATATAAATAATACAATAAGTGTAAATACCCAATTTCTTGACTGTTTAAAGCTAAACATCTAAGATATAAACATTTCTTACACATAACTTCAGTTTCCATCTACAAATGGCTTCTAAAGATATTCTAAAAAATGTTTATACATGTGGATTTTGTTGTTTCTTTATTCGTTGTCAACCCAATCACAATTTTTTAATTTACCCACTAGATTATAAATTCAAAAATAATTTTGTTTTCTGCTAACTTTTTTTAATTTTATCGAGATTTCCTTACTAGGTACGTAAATTTCGGAGGAGTGTTTTCATTATGCGCAGGGAAAAGCAAGCTATCCAGGAAAAAGTATCAGAATGTATCTTCCCTCTTATCCACTTTCTATTCGCGGCAAGTCGTCCAATGGAAACGAGTGCTCGCTTTCTGTTACACTTCCTATCTCTCCATTGGCGTTGGAAAATACTGTTTCAATCCTGATTGTGTTCTCCCCGCGCCCAACAGGAGAATTTCACGTCGAAGGAAATTAGGGATAAAACGTAAATACCTACTTCTTTTTATAGACAGGGAACCTCCGGTTGTGAAATATATATTACGGAAATTCGTGAAAAATCTTCGGAAAATATTTATCCATAGTATACAGAGTGATTCAAAAATAAAGATTTAAATAATTTTCTTAAAATATATAATAAAATCGATAAATGAATCTTAAATAGTATCAAGACATTTAATCAACTATGTCACTTCGACCTTAGCACAGAATCTCAGTCTTTTAAGAGATTGTATGACTCATATGTATAAATATAACTTTTATAATTAAAAGGTAACCAATAAAAATTCCCAGGCCGGATATTTTAGTAAGGAATAGAGATAATTTTATTCTGTAGAAACCAGTTCATATACCACTAGGAGAGTTTTAGTTTTAGATATAAATAGATTTTAAATAGTTTAATAGGTAGATGGCACTGCGCTCAATATTTTTTTTCGATGGGAGGATCTTTCTTATGTAGCGCATCTTATTAAAAATGCATTTTAAGCTAATTCGATAAATTTAGCGGTTTTTTATATACAGAGTGGGCCACTTAATACAGTTTCATCTTGTTTTTTGGCATTAATCATTGGATTTTAAAAAAATAATAAAACAGGTAGATTTTTATTCCAAATTAGACATATTTTCACAATACAGTCATCTGTCATGTATCAACCCCCTCTCTTGCACTTCTCCGACCCCTTAATTTTAAATAAGTAATGTATCATGTATGGCACATCATTAAAATTTTATGAACAATTCAGAAATACGACTGTTTATTACGATACTTTTAATTTTGCTGCCCTCTACCGAAATAAAAAACTGTAACGTATTATAAAGTGGTGTGACACTTAATTTGAAAGCAAATTTAATTACTAATTCAATGCACCACATAACATTTTTATAAATATCCTCCATATTGCACTTGAAAATTAGTCATGCATTATTTTAAACATTATTGCAAGTGCAATATGGAGATATTTGTAATAATGTTATTTGGTGCATTCAATTAGTAATTAAAATCGCTTGCAAATAAGGTGTCACACTTTATAATTCGTTACAGTTTTTTTTTTATCCCGATAAAGGACGCTAAAGTTAAAAGTATTGCAATAAACAGTTATATTTATGAATTCCCCATAAATTACCTCTTCAATGATGTGCCGTTCATGGTACATTCCCTATTTAAAATTAAGAGGTTGGAGAAATGGACGGGAGGGGGTAAACACATAACAGATATCTGTATTGTAAAAATATGTTCAATCTAGAATAAAAAATCGACCTGTTGTAGCATTTTCTTAAAATGCAAAAAAGCCAAATAGCAAGCTGAAACTGTTTTTGACCCACTCTATATATCGAAAATGGCTAGATTGATCGAATTAGTTGACAGAACAAAATCTTCTTAAAAATGCATTTTTTAGAAGATGCGCTATATAAGAAAGATCCTCACATCGAAAAAAAATGTTGAGCGCAGCGCCATCTACATATTAACCAATTTAAAATTAATTTAAATCTAAAACTGAAGCTCTTACGGTGCTCTGTGGACTGATTTTCACAGAATTAAAAATCTCTATTTCTCTGGGAGTTTTTATTGGTATAGGTTATTACCGCCGTTAGTCAGTCCGAGTCACTTAAAGGGGCCCTACACGTTACGATTTTTGTGACTCAACATGTAGTTTTCGATCTGACTCACATCTGGCCTCTCCACTATTGTTCTTTTGTCTAATATGATGATGAAGAGAAAAATGAGCTGAATAAATCTTGCCTTTAGACTAGAACTGTGCGTTTTGACCTGCAGGCCGGCCGTATCGGAAAGTGTATCAAGTTAATAGGCCTCCATTTTCCCTTTAATGTTTACAAATAATATATATATATATATATATATATATATATATATATATATATATATATATATATATATATATATATATATATATATATATATATATATATATATATACATTTATTCATTGTGGCACCAATTTATAGACTTGCCGTACGTTGAGGCACCAAAAATTTCGTTGTGGCACCACATATTGGTGCCAGAACGTTATGAGGGCCAGACCCCCTACTAATGCTATTAGAATATTATCTGGGGTCTGTACGCGAATTTTCGTATTGGTGCTTTAAAGTCGCTGAACATATACTTATATAGGATTTAGTTCTCACTGTTTATAACTGGAGCGCGCTCCTTGTTATACACCAACTTGTATTTTATACTTATTCGCTTTTGAGGCACCACTCTAACTACCACGGTTAAACACCTACAAAGGCATATACTTATTCGCTGTTGAGGTACCATATTACTACTACTGTTGAACAACCAATGTGGCAACAACGCTTTGTCTAATATCGCATTTTTGTGTTACTGTTTTCTCGTGAATTCTATCTTCAGTGGCAAATATTTCAAGCGTAAAACAATAAACAATACAAACGTAAATAGGAATCTGCTCGATATGTGACCGCGGGGTGATGAGTGATATTGTGATGACTTATAATAAATAATCAATTCGCTTGTGCAATTCTGAACTTTTAATTTCAGTTTTGTTACACGATGGTTTCTCGTTCGAGGTGATTAGTAGAATTAGCCGCTTTGGTACATCATTATGATTTTGAACAGAAAGAATGACGATGTGACGTATAAACCATCCTGCTACTGCTGCTCAAATATAGATTTTGACGTACTTGATGGGAGGTTATTTCCTACTTTTTGGAATATATCTGTTATTTACGCTTGGAATAGAAATTTCTACAACTAAAAGTTGCTTGTAATATTATTCTCTATAATTTTTGTCCCACACATGATTTTTCTAAAATGGTCCGTATTCCAGAAATTTGACAAAAAGTTCAAAATTCGAATTTTTAAAAAAATTGTTTTTTATAAAAACTGTTATCCTCTATAATGCTTATTCCGCACATATTTTTTCTAAAATGTACCGTGTTCGAGATATTTGAGAAAAGTACAAATTTCGAATTTTGAACACTTAAAAACGAATGAAGAAAAAAACACCAAATTTTAAATTTAAGCCTTAATCCATCCTGTGGTGAATAGATATAAGGCATAGTTGGAATATCTGGGCTACTTTAATGATGGCCGTTTTTCTACTTTATAAAATATATCTGTTATTAACGATAAGAGAAGAAAATTCTTAAAGTAAAAGTTGTTTGTAATGTTTATCACTATAATTTTTGTAATATACATATTTTTTCTAAGATGGTCCATATTCGAGAAATTTGACAAAAAAATGCAAAATTTAAATTTATAAGAAAATTGTTCAAATAAAAGTTGTTTGCGATATTATAGTCATAATTTTTGTTTTTTACATGATTGATCCAAAATGGACCGTAATGTAAAAATTTAGACGAAAAGTATAAACATTTTTTTTTTGTATTTTCTGTGTGTATATGTATTTCTGTTTGGCAGTGGTTTGTATTTTCGTTGGTAATGAATATACAGGGTGGATCACGCTCAACGGGACGGAGCTTTATGGGAAAACGACCAAAGATATAAAAAATTCGTTTGGGAGGAATACGTAGGTTACAGACGGCTACAATTTAAAATTTGTTAGATGTATACAGGATGTCCCACATAAGAAAAAAAAATTAGTTCATTAAAAATTATTCAAACAAGAGTAAACAATTAATTTCTGGGAGACTTTTTTTCCTTAAAAATTCAAATAAATCGAAAACTAATAATAATAGTAATAGGGAACCTTTA